AAACCGTAGGCAGAGAGAGAGAAGAGGACAACAAACGAGGGGCTGTGACAAACTGTTTCGTCGGAGTTTCACCGACTCATCAGGAGGCTGAACCCAATATATATATATATATATAACATCGATAGAAAGGACACAGACTACGCTTAAAAAATTCACGAACGTAACGAAAAGTCGGTGACAATCAGACAAAACGACGATCTGATAAGCCGGCATTTCCTTCGTCGCATTTCCCTTTTCTTCTCTGCTTTTTTTGGGGGGGGGGGTTCTATTTCTTTTTCTGATTCTTTCTTCTTCTTTTTTCCGGAATTGTGAAAGGTGGCCGTCCGATCTTAATCTGTCAATGAATCGCATCATCGCTACGGAAGTGTGAATGCCGACCGTCCACAAACGCGACGTGTACGTGTAATTTTATCCACAACCATGACGTGGACTTATCATCAAACACGACGTGGACTTATCCTTATCGACGAAACGATCTGTTCTACCACAGTAATTCCATCGTCATTGAACGTGTGAGCGGTGATCGTGCAATGATAATCAACGAAACGATCTGTCTGTCACAGCACCCTTATCGTTATCGTTATCCTTATCGTAGAATAGTGAGTTGTGTGTCTCTGTCTGTGTGTGTGTGTGTGTGTGTGTGTGCGCGTGTCTGTGTGTGTGTGTGTGTGTGTGTGAAAAAGAAATAAAAATTAAAAAAACATTATCTTCACTCTCCTCCACCTTCCCATTTCTTTATTTCTTTATTTATGTTTCTGAAAATTTTAATTTGAGGCAGTTTTGAACTTAGTGTGCTCTTTTTGGTCTCTCCTTCCTCTTGGCACATTTTTTACCCCATGGGGGGGTAGGGGTGTGTGTGTGTGTGTGTGTGTGTGTGTGTGTGTGTGTGTGGCCCAATGGACCACGGATCAGATATTAAACTGAGCAGAACAGATACATTGCACTTGATCTTACTTAGCCAAAAGGCCAAGTAAGGTAGCCATAGCAATTCCAACGAAAAAAAACGAACAATTCAGAATCCAGAGTACTGCGATTCTGAATTGTCCTTTTTTTAATGGAATAGCTATGGCTCCTTTCGAACGATGCAGATCTTTTGTTCCCGTATATACACTACCTGTAAGATAATGTAAATATCGACGGATCGAAATTGAAGACAGTATTACGCCTTTGGGAATATATTGTAACTTCGACGTTCCCGGCCAAAAATTTCCGCGTTTTTTTAAACCGAAATCGTCGAAAATTTCAGCGTCTTACTGGCGGGCGGGAACATGGTAAGCCCCGACAATTTCGGTTCAAGAAATGCCGAAATTACGCACAGGAACGTCCAAGTTATATGCCCAAAAAGGAGTAGTAAGATCAGGTAAGCCTTAAAAACAAGTAGAAATTACGGACAGCAAGAAGAACTGAAAAGTGAAAGATTGAAAGTAGCGAGGACCAAAGGATCGGGAATCGTGACGTGGACTTGTTCACAAACAAACATTTGACGTGGGACTTTATCCACAAGGAAGAAGGAGCCAGTCAAGATGGTGTGGGTGGGTGATACCCCACCAGAGATTGAGAATAGAGCGTTCTGAACAGGATGATGATAGCAGTTAATCAACATGACACGTGCCATATAGCAATCATCATGTTCATGCCGTGTCTTGTATATGCCAATAAAAACCACGTAAACATCACTATGTGTGCAGTCATCAACAATTCAGGCAAACGGCGGACTACAGTACCGAATAAAGAAAGCAATGGCCATATACATATGCTTCTGAACAGGACGAAGAATTAAACAGTATATTACGGTGTACTTAGCGTCCGCTACCTAGCTGTTTTTTTCCGCATCCAGTATCAAAAAATAAAAATAATAGTAAGTGTACCAACTCGCCTAGCTCAGTTGGTACACGCCTGAATTGTTGAAATACAGACCTGGTCCTTCGGGACATCCGTTAAAATTGGAACGATACAGAGAAGGAAGATTAGCATGGCCTTTGCGCAAGGATGACACGCATAAATCGAGAGAGAAATGGTCCAAATTTTTGAAAGAAAAAAAAAAAAAAAAACATACAGACCTGAGTTCGAACTGGACAAGCAGCAGATGAGTAAAATACCCCTAGCTCGATGATGATATCTCTTTTTTTTTTTTTTTTTTTTTTAAAGAAAAATAAAAAACAATAAAAAGCCTGTCTGGGGGTAATACCGGTTATAAAGCAAGAAAGAAATGTTGCTGCAACTACTACCGGTAGTCCGATAACTTTTTTTTTTTTTTTTTTTTTTTTTTTTGCCCGATAACTTTCCAAACTTGTAGTTGAATCTTTCGGAGTATTGTATAAGGGGGGGGAAAAAAAAAAAATACCAACGTACAGATGTACGGATGTACGGATGTACAGCCGGAAGTTGAGCGTTACCTACCTGAGTGTTCCCCAGCTGGCCTGCGATATGAGCCAGCGCGCCATTCTGGCATGTTGCTTCCGCGGGGGGCGGCGGGATCGCGAGAGAATCGGCGGGAGCGAGTTCATGGGCGAGAGTCCCATCGCCATCATCATCAACCCCATCATCACAAGCACTACCATGGTGGAACGCTCCATCCTTCGACAGAGTTGAAGACACGCACGGTCCTTTCTCTCTTTCCCGCCACGTGGATCAACTAATTAGACACGTGGATCAACTAATTAGACACCTTCACCTTTCGAGCGAGTAAGCCCTCGCGACATCGACTAGCAGCAGCGGCGAGAAGCGCGCAAGCGCCCGCACGCGCGGCCGTGCCAACGCAATCCGATCCGCGCACTCGCGCGGTTACGCACAATCCTGCCTTCCGAACGATACGCGCGCAAAGCGCACACGCAATGACTTGGCGCGCAGTCGTCGAAGTTTAATGACGCGCATTCGTCGAAGTTTAATGGCGCGCATTCAAAGTTTTCCCATCACTCTCTCTCTCCAGATGCGCATAGAGGGAAAGGAAAAAAAGAACAAGATCGACCAACAAATAATCGACGCGAGTATATGGGCCTCGCTCCACCACTCTCGACATGCACAGAAGACAAAATCATGGCGACGTATCTTTCCATGTTCTAGCGGAAGATGCACTCTCGTTTTGCACGTTTTTCGAGAGTAGAAGCGGAGCGAGGCCCCATTTACGGTCGGAGCTGAGTTGGCAGTCTTGCAAAATCCCCAGCCGCGGCCCGGACGGACGGCTGCCACAGCGCGCCAAGCTGTAGCCTTGTGTTCGGTCCAACGTGGCAATCCCCTCTCTACGCGCCAAGCTGCTCGCTTGTGCTCAGCGCAGCGTAGCAAACCTCTCGCTTTAGGATTGGCTGCAGGAGATCGCTCGTAGAGCATCGTCCGTCGATTTTCGTTTTTCCTTCAGATACGACCGGTAGGACCCTTTTTTCTTTACGACCTATCTTTGGACGTAATTACCGTCAGATACATTTCATGATCTCTGGACAGAATTCCCGTCAGATGCATTTCATGACCGGCCGTAATTTCCTGCATTCGCAGAAACATTTCATGATCTCTGGACGTAATTACCGTCGGATACATTTCATGACCCGCCGTAATTTCCTGTATCCGCAGAAACAGGAAAGTGAACGACCTACAGAACAGATCCTGTTCAAGAACAGACGTTCCGGCCGTAATTTCCTGTCACCTACAGCATGCAGGGAAGTAATAGTGTGAAAGGAAAAAGGAGGAAGTAATAGTGCCAGTATAGGCCTAGTTCTACACCACTTGAAGTAATAGTGTGAAAGGAAAAAGGAGGAAGTAAGGGCCTCATCCCACCATACTCACGGTAAGTAAAAAATGCGGTTTTTTTTTTGTTTTTTTTTTTTTCTTTGAGGAAAGGAGGGGGAGGGAAAGGCACGCGACTTCGGCGGCGCTCCGTTCGCCTGCACTCTCGCGTGGCTTGTCTGCTAGGCTTATCACCATAGCTACCCGCTTCTTCCACCTAGAAGGGAGGAGTAAGGGTATGGCTGCCAACCTACCACAACGGGCGTTTTTCCGTGGTAGTAGCCGTACTCTCGGGGACCACCCCCCCTCGCCCAGCTTGGACATTTCTTCAACCAGACCTTAACAGAACTACCAGCATAGCACTCAGTCTTGAGTGCTCCGCTATAGGGATCTTAACAGGTACTTTCTTGCCTTCGTCATCACGAATGCGATGTGACCACGTCCGGAAGACGACTCTCTTCTTTGCCGTTTTGAGCTTCGGACATCTCGAGAGTAACTGCGGCGACTCGAGCTGCTCCCTCACACACTGGCCCACCACCTCCCTCCCCCCTTCTGGGGAGTAGGTCGGAGGAGTGGGGCCCGACACGAGGAGTACGAGTCCTTTTTTTTTCGTTTCTCGCCCAATACTGACTGTCGGTATTGTAAGAGTACTCCGCCAAGATACATCGGGAAGTGAGAGGAACGAATCACCTTCGCTCCTACTACACTCCCTGGCAGTAGAATTTTGCCTGCCTGAGTGGTGTGAAGCTACGGTCATACGGTTAGGTTTTGTCTCTTCTCGCTATTTTGAGGAAGGAACACCGCCTTCGTAGCCGTATCCGATACAAGTTCTCCATTATCGCTTACCTGCCCTTTCTCTCCCTTTCCCCATTTGGAAAGGTGGACGGAGAAACGAGGCCTATTGGGTGAAGCTCGACCTTACCTTCTCATGTGGAGTGCATCTTCAGGAAATCTCCGCCAAGATTCTTCGGAACAAGAGGGCTACAAACTTCCATCTTTTTCTGAACTCGGCCTACGTTGCGACGCATCGGACGAACTTTCATCATCGGGACAATCCCCCACCTATCGGCATCATCACTACGGAGGCTGAGCCGCTCACTCCCGACATGGTTCTTGGCCCTTTCGAGCAGGGTGGCGTCATCCTTCCCCGTTAGGTAACTCGCTGCTTCCATCCTACCCCTCCGAACTTAGATTTCGCCGTTCCTACTCTTTGTTCTGACCATAGGTATCTACTCCTCATCCCGACCCTTATTCAATCACAATTTCCCACCCCTCCCATCTACCATCCGACTCTCTAACAACGAGCCCGGTCTTTCTCGGCCTACGCTACCTTCGACTCGCCGCCCTATCCCTATAACACTGCTTCGTGTCTCTCTTCCAATTGAGACCCCGCTCTCTCACTCCGCTCCCCCCTCGCCCTCCCTTACGAACCCGTGTCATACCCGGTCCCCTCTTGCCCCCCTCCTGTCTCACCCCCGCCCC